AATTCCATCACTATTCACTTTAATATAATAAAAGATTTTATCTGCTTTGAGTTTTGAATTCTTGTGTTTATAAAACTTTTTCTTAACCATGTAATCAACAGGCATTATATAATCATAACTAACCTTATAGGATGGGAATTGGCCCAAATTAAGAACAGATATTCTATCTTTTCCAGTACCAGCTAATAAAGGATAAAAGCTTTTAGTTTGTTTCTCAATATTAACACATGTCTTTAACAAATCTACTTCATTTTGTTTATCTAGTATTTTGTTGATTAATTTTAATCTTTCTAATTCTTTTTCATATCTCTTAAAATAACTTTCTTTAAATTCTTCTTCTCTCATTAATCAACTAAATTACTTTTATTAAAATTAATTTCATTAAAAGAATTTATTTTTTAAGAGCTAATTTCCTAAACTGTTTTCATAAGTGAAAATGTCTGGTAAATTATACATTTGATCATCATAAAAATAACTTCTAAATACATCTAAGTAATTACTACTTTCTTTCTCTAAAACAAGCACAAATTTAGGTTTTACTAATCTACCTTCATTAAAGTAAGCTATCCAATTATTCATATAATTACCAAATTCATTTTTACTTGTAATGTTGTAGAGTGATAGTCCAGAAATAAGAGTATCTGGATTATTAAAACAATCAAGATTTGTACAATTCTTTCCTACATAACAAAACAATGTTATACCGGCATCCATTAAATAGATTGAATCATCTCTTAGATTAGTTCGTGTTAGACTATAAACTGTTGGTTCAGGATCTAGTAAGTTAATTAGAGTTGGATAAACTATTGAATCAACTGTTGAAAAACACATGTTTGACAGTAAATAGATGTAAAAGACTCTAAAATCATTGGGTGTATGTTTATCTGGTCTTAATGCTATTGACTTTCTCATTGCTAATGCATAACTAATACAAGGTCTAATATTTTCATTTATTATACCACCTGAACTAATCTTCATTTCTTTAACAATGCTATTAATTTGTCTATCAATGTAATAACCACCTGAAAATTTCTTTAATGATTCTTGATAACATGCATTAAATGTTAACGCCATTATTATCTGTTTTGCATTAAATATTTCTACTGTTGGTGTTGATGAGTTAGCTGTTAATAATTGAATGTTAAATACTCTCACTGATCTTATTCCTTCTTTATTAATTCGCAGCATAGCTATCTGAGCATATACAGTTTCTAACTTATCTGGAATTGATATTTCAAAATTAATAGCGTGTGATGGGGAAAAGTTTGAATAAGCAAATACACCGTTTTTTCTTTGTACGAAATTTCCATGAAGTGCTTTTAAATTACATCCCTCACTAAGTCTTATTTTCATCCAACAATTGTAATTAATTCGATTATTAAATATTTCATTTAAATCACAATATAACTTATCTGTATAAACTGGTTCTGATCCATCATAGTTTGAATAATGGAATAGTTGACCTCCTGATGTTGTTAAAACTTTAAGTACACCCAATTCTAAAGACTGTCTTGTACATGCAAATAAATTAACTCCTAAATTTCTCAAATACAAATCCTGTGAAACTTTTTTATAATTTTCATTATTTTGATAGAGTGCTGAACTTACTGCTATTTTAGACTTATCTATATTA